GGTCGCCGCTGCCGAGGCCGCTCTCACCGAGGTTATGCTGGGAACAGGCGAAGAGACTGGCGAGAGCGCGGGAGAGCTGGCGAAGCGAATGCAGACGCTCTTAGCCGAGCTCGAGCGGCGCAAGGATGCGATGCGCATCGCCCGCTCTCGTCTTGCTGATTGCGTCAGAGAGGCCGCCTCCGCTGGATTCCCTGAGGCGGCGGCGTACTCGCCCTCGCCTGTGGCAGCGCCAACTGCCCTCGCGGAGGTGGACAGCGCCGCCGAGGCGGAGGCCAGGGTTGGTACGGGCTTGCACAGCGAGGCTGAGCCGGCGCGGCATCGCGACGAGAGTGCCACCCTTGCCTGGCCTCGGCGAGTCCCCCACCCCGCGCGCCGCCGCCGCCGCAGGGCGGCAGAGACGGAGCCTCCCAGCGCTCCCTGGTCAGGCGCTGTTCTGACTTCGGCCGGCGATCGGCGCAAAAGAGCTCTCTACGCGTTCGAATTGGTGCGCCGAGGACGCAGGGGTGGCGCCACTTCCGCTGTATCGTAGTGGGATCCTGCTGTCGAGGTTCCTCGCAACGTTCGGCGTGTGGCTGCGCGACGCAGGTTTCCCGCTCAACATCCTGGTGCACGCGATCATAGGCGTCCAGGCACGTCTCCCTCATTGGAAGCCCTTTCTCACCGAGGCGTGGGGAGTGGCGAGGGCCTGGAAGCGGTCTCAGCCACCTCGCCTTCGGCCGCCAATGCCACGAGCGCTCTTGCGCGCTATGGTGGCAGTTTGTTTCACTTGGGACTGGCCAGTCATGGCCGCCTTGCTGCTGGCAGGGTTCACGATGTCCTTGAAGCCCGACGAGCTGCTGTCAGCCCGTCGCTGTGACCTTTTGTTGCCTTCGGATTGCCTTGAGTCCTCAGGCAACGCTTGGATGACCATTCCCGATCCAGTGAGCAGCATGTCTTACCCGCCACAGCACGCCTGGTGCTCTGACAAAGCGGTGGTTCGGGTTTTGGAGATGGTCTTTCGGCATTTGGGTCCCACCGATCCTCTGTCGACCTTTGGTCAAAGCGGCTTCCGTACTCGGTGGAACCATTTACTTTTGGCGTTAGGCGTACCGCTCGCCGAGACGCCAGCGGGGTTCCACTTGACCCCTGCTTGCCCCCGCGGCTCAGGCGCGACAGACTTTCATACGGCCACAGAAGATATTGGTCGTATCTTCTGGCGTAGTCGCTGGCGCCAGGCGTCTAGCGCGGAGCGCTTCTTGCACGACGATGCTTCCGCCGCGATGCTTTCCGCCTTGCCTGATGCCGCTCGGGCCCGTGTCACCTACTTCGATGGCGCGAGCGACTTCCTTGTCGCTTCCTTTCTGAACTGTGGCCCCACTGCGTGGCCCCTTCTGCTCGCGGCCGTCCGCCAAAACCTTGTCACTTCGCAAGGGCTTTGAGCCTGGGCATGGCTGCTACGGCCACCTGGCCGTCCAGATGGCCTCGTTGGACGAGGTCGTCTGAGGGCGCCGCGCGGCTTGGGCGCGGCGCCCCGTCATCCTTTACGGGTCGCCGCGCGCGCGCCGCGCGCCCGCCTCCGGGACCTGATCGCTTGCGCTGCGTGCGGGAGAATGCGCTTCTCTATTCTCCTTGCCGCTCGCGCCCGTTCAGGTCCTGCAGCTTCTCGGCCCCCTCCCCCCCTCCCCGCCTTACTCAGGCAGGCCTGCGGCGCTGCTACGGCCACCTGGCCGTCCAGATGGCCTCGTTGGACGAGGTCGTCCGAGGGCGCCGCACGGCTTGGGCGCGGCGCCCCGTCATCCTTTACGGGTCGCCGCGCGCGCGCCGCGCGCCCGCCTCCGGGACCTGATCGCTTGCGCTGCGTGCGGGAGAATGAGGATGAGGATGAAGATGAGGATTGGGATGAGGATGATGATGCTGTGTTTGATGATTGTGATGATGATGTTGGTGATGATGATGGTGTGGATGAGGATGAGGATGAGGATGGAGATGATGATGATGATGCTGATGATGATAAGGAGGAGGATGAGGATGCGGATGAGGATGAGGAGGAGGAGGAGGCTGATGATGATGATTATGCTGATGATGATGCTGGTGCTGCAGCAGATGGGTGTGTGGATGATGATAGTAATGATGCTGCGGTTGGTGTTGCTGATACTGGTTATACTGATGACGACGACGATGGCGATGGCCATGGCGATGCCGGCGATGACGATGTTGTTGATGATGATGATCATGATAATGTTGTTAATGATGATACGATGATATTGGTGATGCTGATGATGCTGATGATGATGGTGATCAGGGTGAGGCTGAGGATGTGGATGAGGATGAGGCTGATGATGCCGATGCTGATGACGTTGATGCGTCTGCTGATGATAATGGTGATGATGGTGGTGATGGTGAGTGTGATGGTGATGGTGAGGATGAGGATGTGGATGAGGATGAGGATGAGGATGTCGATGATGATGACGACGATGGTGAGGTTGATGATACCGTTGATGGTGATGGTGATAGTGATGATGAGGATGAGGATGAGTATGAGGATGAGGATGAATATGAGGTTGAGGGTGAGCATGAGGATGAGGATGATGATGACGATGATGATGCTGATTATGGTGATTATGCTGATGCTGATGCTGATGCTGATGCTGATGATGATGATGATGATGGTGATGGTGATGATGATGATGATGATGATGATGATGATGATGATGATGGTGGTGGTGATCGTGATGGTGATGATTATGATGACAATGGGGAGGGAGGAGGGGGAGGAGGAGAGGATGAGCGGGAACGCGGGGCCTTGCGGATTCAAGACGAGGACCCACAACGACAGGATGGTTGGGAACAAGTACGACCCGAATATGTTTGATGGCACGAAATGCTCACACAGCCTAATGGGGGACCCCAGTACTTCTAGCCCAAATGATTGGACGGAACGGCAAGTGAAGCGCAAAGGGCCCGTAGATCCCAAGGAGACCGTGGAACCCAATGGGCCAAAGAGAATCGAATAATTCGAAGGGTCAGAAAAATCGAAGATCCCAGAGACTCCGAATATCCGAAACAGACCAGGGAACTCAAGTGGGTCGAAGGACCTCAAGATCTCGAACAGCCCGAAGATCCCAAAGGTCCCGAGGAACTTGAAGAGCCCAAAGGGTCCGAAGAACCCGAGCAACTGCGGTCCTTTGAGGAACCAGGCCCTGTAGTATTCATGATCCCCCTGCTTGCCTTCTCGTTGTCTGCATCCCTGTCTCACTTTCCCTTCGCCTCGCGGAATCTTCAACCTGGTTTCAAAGTATGCAGCTTGCATCTTCCCACTTCATGTGTCCAATGTGGAGGGGGATTGGGCCAGCAGCGCATCGGAGGCCACATTCTCGGGCCATGTGTATGCAAACGATGCCTTCTCACGCAGCGCACGCATATTTATTCAGCATTTCTCGCGGTTTGGACAATTCGCCGTTTTCGTTTTCCCATGTCTTATTGAACATACGTTTAGCCACCTCTGTCTCTCGTCAAGCTTCGCGTGTGAAGGTTCCACTTGGCAACGACCGCGACTCGTGTGTCATGCTGGTCCTCCAACTGTGCAGACGCAGCAGCAATGAAGCAGACCAGTGGAGAGATATGTCGATGTGTGAAGGGACAACGAGATGGGGATGTATGTGCAGTGAGCGACATACGTGTATATATATATATATATGTATATATACACATGTATATATACATGTAAATGTATATATATATATATATATATATATATATACATCATACGTAATCCGCAACACTAGAGCGCGGCGGTTATGATGATGCAGCCGGGGGTGGACATATCTTCTACGCCATTGCGATACAAAGGCGAAGAAATTTGACAGACACGCTCCCGTTGGTGGCAGACTGTTTCTGAGCATAGCCAGACCCCTCTATAGCGGCGAGCTGCTGATCAGTGAGAGGCGCGAGTGCATACATCCGTGCTGTGCAACGCGGTGCTCGATGACGAAGGTGTTTTGGCAGCAGCACGGGAAGCAAAGTGCTTCAGACATATTGGGCGTTGCGAACCTGCGACGCACTGGCGTGCCAGGGTCCGATTCCCATGCATTTTGTAAGCGTGGGTCATCAGCCCTTGGTGGGTGGAACAGCACCAGCGCCGCTCGGGAGGGCAGCCGCGGCAGACCCAGGGAATTTCAGCAGGCGTATGGACACTGAAGAGGTGCAGGTGGGCGCGCCACTCGCGGATGCAGGCGCGTGCAATCAGGCATCATGTCACGTAGAGCCCGCTTTAATTGAGAAGGCTCGGCAAAAGGGGCGAACCAGGGGCCAGGCTTAGTGCATGATTCCCGCAGGCCGTGCAGGACAGGTGCAGCTTGCCAAGCCCATCTTTAGACCTGCGGCCGGAGCTGAGCTGCCGAGGCATGCGTGCGTGGCCGCAGTCGGAGCCGCGAGTAGAATAGCGGGGCCGCTCGCGAAAGTGGATGCAGCAGCCACCAGTCGCTTCTGCAAGAGGCCTATATCCGTGGGCAACACGTGCAGTTCCCTCAGCATCTCGTGGTCCGAGCCGTGCTCGGATTGCGTAAACTTGCAGCGGTTGGCCACCTGACGGAACACGCGCACGCGAGCGCTGTGACGATGTTGGACGGTTTCGGGAGAAGGGCTCAGCCATGGTTCAGTGCCGAACAGAGAGATACACATTTACACAGACAACACATACACATTCACATACACATACACGTACACACATAGGCACATACACATACGCATACACATGCACACATACACACATACACAAATACACACATACGCGCACTCCTACACACATACATACGTAGACACATACATACATGCATGCACACATACAAAAATACATACATACAAACAGAGAGACAGACAGACAGACAAACTGACAGACAGGCAGACAGGCAGACAGACAGACCGACATAATGTATGGCAGATTTCACATCGTGAAGCGAGGAAGTAGCGAGCAGGCGGCCGCACGCGGGTTTCACCGCGGCCGACTGGCTCAAGGCTCCGAGGCCCCACGGGCTTCTGCGGCCGGGTGCGCATGGACCCGGCGGCCTGGCTGCTGCAGGAGGCGGCCAGGGGCTTCGTTGCGGGCGCGGCGGCGTGGGGCGCGTCCTGGGGCGCGCAATGCCCAGCGGCCCCGCCTTGCCCGGCTTGCTCCTGCCAGTGCGAGCCGCGCCTGGTCTGCCCCGGAGGCAGCCACGCCGAGGCGGCCGCGCCAGGCGCGGCGGTGGTGGCCGGCGTCTGGCTGTTCAGCCTAGCGGCCGCGGTGGTGGGCACCTGGGCTTGCTCGCGGCACTTCGCGGTGGCAGCGGCCCCGCCCGCGGCGGTAGCCGCAGCGCGCGCCCCGCCGGCGCTGCCAGCGCCCGTTCCGCCTTCGTCCCTGCCTGAGGTCGCGGCGGCCCAGGTGGCGGCGCTTCGGGTTTCTAAGACCCAGCTTACGCGCTGAGGATGGCGGCAGCTGCTGCCCATCCTGTGGTGGCCGCCGGGCTGCAGGAGGGTGACTTCCTCCTGGTGGAATATACGGGGTTCCCAGGCGTGCTGCACGAGAGGCTCCTCATTTTGGTTCCAGATGCGGGAGGCCAGGTGTGCACGCTCACCCCAGACGACGACAGCTACGAGGAGGACCTCTACGCGCCCGCCGACGTGCAGCGCTGGCTGCGCCTTGGAGGCCGCATGGGCGCCTACCCGCCTGCGGCAGGCGCTGGGCACGTGCACGGCTTCCGCGGCGTCCCTGCGCCCGTGCGGATCGCGCACGTGCTGACCGCTGCGGCTGCGCGCCTCGGCGTGGGCCTCACGGCGGGCGCGACGGTGGTGCCCAACCTTGGTGGCGCGGCTGGCAGGCCTCGGCCCCGACCAGGCCTGGCGGCCGGGGCGCCCCCTGCTGCGGTTGCAGGCGCGCCGGCTGCCGGTGGAGCCGCGGCTGCAGCCCTTCCACCTGGCCTGCTGGTGGCCGCCCCGCCCCCTGGCGCAGCAGCAGCGGCCGCTGCTGGCGCGGCTGGAGGCGTGGCTGGCTTGGCGGCCGCCTTGGCGCCCCCCCCGGCGGGAGGCGCAGTGGCCGCGGTCCCGGCGGCCCTGCCTCCACCGTTGGTGGGCGCCGCCCCCCCCGCCGCGTTTGCGCCGGCGGCCGTGGCGCCAGCCGTAGCGGCGGCTCCGCTGGACGCGAGGGTCCAGGCAGTCGCCTACGACCTCCAGGGCCAGCGGCACCGGGACTTCCGCACGGCGGTCATGGCCATGACCGAAGGCAGCTTCCCCGACTGGCCTGTGCGGGGCCCCAGGACGGCGCTGTGGTGCCTCAAGTTCATGGAGGCGCACGGCGGCACCCCGACTGGCCGCCACTCACGGTGGATCTCGGAGACGCGGCCCCAGGGGCATGAGCCCGGCGTCGACGAGCACGAGAGGGCGTGCAGGACGCTGGAAAACATGGTGGTCTACGACCAGCTCAACGTGGCGAACCTCGCCGCGGGCGAGATGCTTGCCAGGGCGGTGCAGCTTCAGGAGGAGCGCTACCGCGACCGCGTGGCGCCCGCCGTAGACTCGACGAACATGGAGTCGCACGTGCTGCTCGGCACGGATCGGCTGCGTGGGGACGTGTGCGTGTCGCCAGCACTCCAGGACTCCTGCAAGGATGAGCTGACTAAGACGAACGCCTACAGGAAGGAGCAACGAAAAGCCAGAGTGGAACGCGACTTGGCCCACAAGAGCAAGACAGGGGCAAGGGCGACAAGGGCTTTGGCAAGGATGACAAGTGACCTCGGAGCGGGGGGTGGAGATGGGCGCCCACCCCCGCCAACCTGCCCATCGGCTGGCACGGCAGCCGCCAGCCAGCCGCCTCTCGACCGTCGTCCTGCTCGATCTGTTGTTCGGCAGCGGGACCTGTTTCCTCTTCCTTACTTGGGAGTGCGTGGCGGTGGTGACAGTTTTGGGTCTGGTCGCCAGGGCAAGCGTCGCATGAGGGACGCTTCGGATTGGCACGACTGGGCTAACGACGCCATCGACGTCATGAATTATGCGTGCGCCCCTGGGGCTCAGCCGTCCGCCGTCGGGATCTCCGAAGGCAAGCGGGCGTCTCTCGAGCACGTGCAGTCTGCTTTCACCAGCCTGGCACCTCTTGCTGCTGATGATGATTTTCCTGAAGGAGCTCTCGCTGACCTTCTTTCAGGCTCTCCCCCTTACAACTCGGGAGGCCCACGCCGGCCCTATTCGCGGGGCCAGATCTCGTGGCCCGACGTCGGCGACGACCCCGTGCCGCTCACGAGCGTCGTTGCTGGCCCGGACGCTCAGTGGCTTGGGGCCTGGAGCTCGAGGATGCTGCGTGATCGGGGCGAGGCAGGTGCCCTCCTGCAGCAGGTTTGCCCTCGTGGACCGCACGTGGACCCGCACCTCTCTTTCTCGCCGGCGACTTACGCCGGCTTCCTTGCTCAGATGCTGAAGCGCCAGATGGTCTGCTTCCAGGCGGAGGATCCCAATATCAAGCCGATAGGTGTCTTCTGCGTGGCAAAGAAGAGCAATCGTCTGATACTGATTTTTGACACGCGCACGGCCAACGCCTACTTCTCGGACCCACCGGCCACCGCGCTGCCCAGCGCCGCCGCCTTCGCCAATTTGGAGGCGCCAGGAGGCCGCGTGGTCATCGCCGCGGGCGATATCGACAACGCGTTTTACCGCCCCAAGATGCCGGACGGTCTCTGCAGCTACTTCAGGCCCCCGCCGATCGACAGGCGCCACCTGGAGGCTCGCGGCGTATCAGGGCTGCCCAGCGGGGGCCAGCTGCAGGCGTGCCTTGTCGTGCTGCCCATGGGTTTCTCTTGGGCGCTCCCCTTGTGCCGGCTGGCCCTGAGGACGGCCGTGGCGCGCGCAGGGGTGCCTGCCCAGCTCATCATCGAGGACGGGCTCCCAGGCGTCCCAGGAGCCCGCCGCCGGGTACGTCGACAACTATCTGTCGGTCGGCGCGGACGAGGGGCGCGCCCGGGCCCTGGGCCGCATCGCTGGAGCACTGGAGGCTGCTGGCCTGCGCGTCCACGCGCCTGAGCGGGCTGCGGAGCCCTGCAGTTTCTCGGGCATGGAGCTGCGGTGCGGTCGCTGGCTCGCCATCAAGGGGCGGTCCGTCTGGCGGCTCAGGTTCGCGGCGCGGGCGCGCATCGGGCCACCTGGCCCGCGTCGTGGTCGGCCACCTGACCTGGGCCTCGATGGCGAGGCGCGAGGCGCTTGGGATTCTCAACGCCACCTGCGCCATCATGGCAGCAGCTGGCGCGGAGGTGCAGTCGCTGCGGCCCGCGGTCCGCGCGGAGCTGTGGCGCGCCCGCTGTCTGCTGCCGTTGCTGGTCGCCGACCTGGCGGCGCCTTGGGTTTCGCGGCTGGCGGCCAGCGACGCGAGTGAAGAGGGTCTCGGGGTGCGCCGCCGGCAGGCTCCGAGTGACCTCATCGCCCGCTGCGGGCGTCAGTGCGAGCGGTGGCGATGCAAAGTCGAGGGGGGGGGGGGGGCGCGCGCAAGAGACAGAGCCCCCCTTCCCTCCTTCTGCGCCCGCTTGCATCGCCGAATCGTCGCCCATGCAGAATAACCCTTCTTTTCGTGCATCCGCTCTCTTGCAGCCTGGCGATCCGCTGAACGGAGCTTTGAGGGCCACACCTACGACGGCTTCGCCAGGCACGCCGGACGACGCCCCGCATGTCAGCATGGCCACGAAGGAGCCCTTGGAGATCTCCCAGAGCCCGACGAGCCCCGTGAAGGACCCCTTCCATGACCTCGGCACGTTCGGCGTCTCGGAGGAACCGCTGATCTTGGGCTTGGGCAAGAGGCTAAAGGATTTCGACGTGGTCCCAGCTGGTTTTACTGGGCGCGAAATCCTGGCGAGGAGTAGTGGCCACGCAGGTCCAGGAGGGCCAGAACATCTTGGGTCTGGAGGCCGACGCCTTGGTTGTTGCCTACAAGCACCTCTTGAGGTCCTCGGCATGTCGTGGGAAGCGCGTGCTCGCCCTCGTTGATAACATGCCGTTGTGTCTAGCCGTGGCGAAGGGGAGAGCGGCTTCTATCTAGTTGCACCTCCCGCTTCTGAAGATATATGTCACTTGCAACGCGAACGAGATTGCACTGCAGATGGACTCCGTCTGAACGCACCCCCGCCGACGCTCTTTCTCGAGGGCGGCGCTCTTGGTTTTCAGATTCTGCCGACCGCCCTCGGCCCCCGCGGCAGGCCGCCCCGCGCGCTGGCGCGGCGGCGGCTGGCGGCCGGGCAGCCGCGGGTCCTGCGGAGGCCCGCGCGGCGCCCGGCGCTGGCGGCCTCGGAGGCGCGGGGGCGCCGCGCGGCCCTCGCCAGGCGCTTGCTGGCCGAGCGGCCGCCCCTGGGCAGCTCAGCGCGCTGGAGACCATGGCGGCGCGCTCCAACACGGAGTCGCAGTGCCGCAGGGTGCTGGAGGAGTTCGTGGCGTTCTGCTCGCTGAACCGCCTGGATTGGAAGGGCTTCGGGCAGCTGGACGCCACGGCAACCAGGTTTTTGAACCGCCAGTTCGCCCAGGGAGCGCCCTCGAGCCAAGGTTCGTTGCTGCTGGCTGCGCTCGCCCACTTCCTGCCAGGCCTCCAGGGCTCCTGGAAGGCCCAGCTGCCTCGGGCCACGCGAAGCTCGATCGCCTGGCAGTGGAGGGCGCCCGCCATGACGAGGGCGCCGCTGCCATACTTCGCAGCCGCTGCGTTGGCAGGCATGCTGGCCATGAGCGGCCGCCGGCGCATGGCGATCTGGATCCTGCTTGCGTTCAGCTGCAACCTGCGACCGTTCGAGGCGCAGGGGCTGCGCGGGCTGTCGCTGGTCTGACCCGCGGGTTTGGCGGCCTCCTCCGCGGGAAGCTGGGCCCTCCTCCTGCGCCCCACCAGCGGAGGCCGCCCAGGCAAGACGGGCTTGTACAACGAGAGCGTGGTGATCGACTTGGACCTGCACCTCTGGCCGTTGCTCGAAGGCCTGAAGGCCGCGGTGGCCCTAGACTGGAGCCTCTGGGATTCCACGCCGCCAGCGCGCAGGGAGCAGTTCTGCGAGATCGCGAGCCGGCTCCAGCTTCAGGCCCTCGACCCGACGCTCTACGCGCCGCGGCGCGGCGGAGCGAGCTGGGACCTGCTGGGGGGCCGGCGGACGCTCGAACAGACGCAGCGCCATGGGCGCTGGGCGTCGCCAGGCAGCATGGAGCGGTACGCCAAGGAGGCCTACCTGCAGGATGCCAAGACGCGGTTGCCAGAGTGGGTATTCGTCCTGGGCAGAGTCGCACGCGCCAACTTGCGCGAGATTGTCGAGCTGGGGCCCGGCCTGCGTCAGCATCTACGCCTTTGGCAGCAGCTGCCCGCGCCCGCGCAGGCGCTGATCGAGGCAGGGCTGCCGTAGCTTCGCCAGCGCAGGTTCGGCGGCATCTGAAGGCATGCCTCGCTGCTCAGTTGAAGGCTGCTAGTCACAGGCGCTTTGGCACGTTCTTGGAACTTTTCGCTGGGGCGGAGAAAGTAGCCAGGGCCTTAAGGGCCAACGACTTCGCCGCGCTCGCCCTTGACGTTTTTGCACGGTCCCCCGGAGGGCCATCTTGATCGCACGTTTGAGAAAATTATCTCGGGATGGCTCAAGCGTGGCCTCGACCGGGGCGTTTTCCTGGGGGCCCCGCGCGCAACGTGGGCCCGGGCCTTGCGAAAGCCCTTGCGTGATGTTCAGTCGCCGATGGGAGTGCCCGATTTAAACGACAGCGAACGTGCCCGCCTCAAGATCGACAGTGCCACGTTCCATTTCTTGTCGCATCGTTTCGCTGTGCCGCAGCTTGGGAGTGCCCGCGATGATGGAGAACACCCAAACATCTCTCTTGTGGGCGGCTCCGCGTCTTGTAAAGCTCGCCTCGGGTGCCGATTCCGCCAGCAGTGCATGCCACCTTTGTCAGTATGGTGCGCGGCGGCGCAAGGCCACCCGAGTTCAAGGTTGGAGCGTCTCTAGCCTCGCGACTTTGAGTTGCAAGTGTTCAGGGAAGCATGGGCTTTGTTCTCGCACGAAGCTCCCGCGCATAGAGTTGCCCGGCGCCGCTCCAGGAGGCCGCAAGTGGACCAGCCTTGCGGCCGAGCATCCCCTCGTTTCGCCGCTGCCGCCGCCGCTGTTCTCTCCCACTCGTCGGAGCAGGTGCATGGATTAAGATTGGCTGACATGACTGATGCGCAGGCAGGTTCGCTGCCAGCTGGGGGCGAGGTATTTAATTTACTGCTAAACACACAGTGTTTCCCCGTGCGTCACCCCCTCGGTGCCGCCAAATACAGCGTTTTCGCGTTGTTTTTGTCTTCCTGTAGTGGCTTGCGTCGCCCGCGTTGGCGGGCGTCTGCCTCCTCGCCGCCGCAGAATGTAGCAAAACACCGTGTCTTTTAAGCATTTTCGGGGGTGACGCACGGGGGTTCCCCTGCGTTTTCTGCATGGCCAACGCAAGGCATCTAAAGAAGCGTGCATGTCAATGGAAACCCTGTGGGGCTCCGGCCTAACGGCCAGGCAACCCATTTGGGGAAAGGGGCGCTGTGCTTATTTCTCAATCGTGGCTCGCAGTGGCGAGCCGGTGAACTTCGATCTCAGATGGATTCGTGCCGCTCGAGCGCGCTCACAGGAAAAGACTGAATCCTTTCAGCTTGCGCTGGCTGGCCGCCGAGGTAGCGTCTGTACTTGCTATCTCTCTCTCTCTCTCTCTCTATATATATATAGATAGATAGGGGTTGGCCGGGGGGGGCAAAACCGGCGCCATTATCCCCCAGGGGCGCCCCCCCGAACCTTTGGGGGGTCACAGACCCCCCGGGACTGCCCTGGGCCGCTTCCAAATTGCCTACGACAGGCCACGCGGGCCGTACAGACGGTGGTCAAGAAAACCTCAATAGGACCCGAAGACGCCCAAGAGCGCCCCAAGAGGGCCCGAGATGGCTTGAAGATGGCCGACGAGGGCCCCAAGAGGGCCTTCAAGAGGCAAACATCGGCCCATTCCCGTCGTAAAACGTACATTTTCAGCATGCTCGCTGGCTTCGTCTTCGCAGTGCCCGAGACGCCCCCGCGGAGCCCCAACACAGCCCAGAAGAGACCCAAGAGGGCCCCAGTCGGCCCAAAAGGGTCGGCCAGTGGGGCTCACGGAACCCTCCGAGACGGCCCAAGAAGCCCCCAAGCCGGCCCAGGAGGCCCCCAAGACGCCTCAGGGAGGCCCGAGAGGGCTTCGTTCGAAATCATGTTCCCGGAAGACTCTCCAGGAACATGATTTCCGGGTTCCCAGGACGCCCGAGAGGCCCACAAGGCAGCCTCAGCGAGGCCCGAGATGGCTTGAAGATGGCTAGAGAGGGCCCCAAGAGGGCCTTCAAGAGGCAAACATCAGCCCTTTTCCCTTTCGTAGAACGTAAATTCTCAGCATATTCGCTTGCTTCGTCTTCACAGTGCCCCAGATGACCCGAGGAGCCCCAAGACGGCCCAAGAGAGACCCAAGAGGCCCAAGACGGCCCGAAAGGGTCGTCCTGTGGGGCTCACGGAACCCCCCGAGACGGCCCAAGAGGCACCGAAGCTGGCCCAGGAGACCAGCAAGACGGCCTCAGGGAGGCCCAAGAAAGCCTCGTTCGAAATCATGTTCCCGGAAGACTCTCCGGGAGCATGATTTTTCTGGGTTCCCAGGACGCCCGAGAGGCCCACAAGGCAGCCTCAGCGAGGCCCCCGAGGGCCCGAGATGGCCTGAAGATGGCCGGAGAGGGCCCCAAGAGGGCCTTCAAGAGGCAAACATCGGCCCATTCCCCTTCGTAAAACCGCGTTTTCAATTTTCCGATGCTCCAACAAGGCCCAACAGGTCCTCAAGATCGCCCCAGGATCCACGCCTTACCCCTTGCCGTCGTCGTCGTCGTCATCGTGGGCGTCGTCGTCGTCGGTTCTTCTCCGTCAGATTGCGTTCACGCCGCGCTACGCAGACGCCGTCGCGCAAACGGGAGTAGGCCGGGGGGGGGGGCCTGGGCTCGCTCCCAAACACGCCACGACACGCCAAGAGGTGTTTGAAACACATTTGCGCTCTCGCATGTTCCGCCTCCCCACGGTCCTGGAGGGCGTCGGAGGCCCTTCAGATCGCTCCAAGGCGGCCGAAGAGGCCCCCAAGAAAGCCCAGAGACGGCCCAGGAGGCCCCCCAGATAACTCAAGAGGGCCTCGAGAACGCCCCAAGAGAGCCCCAAGAGCGACCCAAGAGGGCCCGAAGAGCGCGACGTTTCATGTCTCCGGCCTTGGAGGCTCCTAGGACGCCCCCGGAGGCCATCAAGAGGCTCCCAAGAAGCCCCGTGAGGCTCCCAAGAGGCCCCCGGGAAGCCCCAACAGGCCCCCAAAATTTGGCCCCCAGGGAAGCCCACTGCGGGCCCCCAAGACACCTCGGTAAATCGTATTTCCCAGACAGCTTTCCGGGAACATGATTCCTTGGGCTTCCGCCCACCGCCCCAATTTTGTTTCCAATAGGCTTGCCGACAAGGCCAAAAGGGGCCCCTCGGTAAGCCCCCCAGAGACTCCCCTCTTAAGAGAACCCATCAAATCATTATCCCGGAAAGCTTCCCGGGAACATGATTCTCGGGTTGCCGCCCTCTGCCCAAACCATGTTCCTTAAACGCCTGCCAGGAAAAAATCACCGAGAGTCCCAAGCAGCCCCAAGAGGGCCCGAGATGGCTTGAAGATGGCCGAAGAGGGCCCCAAGAGGGCCTTCAAGAGGCAAAACTTTACCCATTCCTTTTTGTAAAACGTGCAATTTCAGCATAGTCGCTTGCTTCGTCCTCAGAGTGGCCCCCGAGGAGCCCCAAGACAGCCCAAGACGGCCCTAAAGGCCCCGAAGCTGGCCCAGGAGGCCCCCAAGACGGCCTTATAGGGAGGCCCAAGAGGGGGTCGTTCGAAATCATGTTCCCAGAAGCTTCTCCAGGAACATGATTTCCGGGTTCCCGGGACGCCCAAGAGGGCCCCAGGACGGCCCCAAAAGGGCTTAAAATGACATTCAAAAATTCCCAGAGGGCCACACTTCGCTGATTTTCGCGAAATGTTGTTGAATTTCTTCCGCGCGGAGGAGACGGAGAGGGCGAAGGAGGAGGAGGAGGAGGAGGAGGAGGAGGGGGAGGAGGAAGAGGAAGAGGAGAAGGACGAGGCGGGGAGGAGGAGTGGAGGGGAGGAGGGGGGGAGAGAGGAGAAGGAGGCTCGAGGGCGATCGACGATCGGAGACGACGACCGGCGACGGTGATTGACGACGACGACGACGACGACCACGACCACGACGACGACCGATGACGATCGACGACGATGACAACAGTCGACGCCGCCGATCGATGATCGACGGCGACGACGACGACGGCCACGCCGACGGCGGCGACGTTGTCCGACAGCCTCAGCGAGGCCCAAGAGGGCCCCAAGACGTCCAAGAGCGCCTCAAGAGGGCCCGAGATGGTTTGAAGCTGGCCGAAGAGGGCCTTCAAGAGGCAAAAATCGGCCCACTCCCGTTGTCGCCCCCGAGCCCCAAGACAGCCCAAGAGAGACCCAAGAGGGCCCAAGACGGCCCAAAAGGGTCGTCCTGTGAGGCGCACGGAACCCCCAAGACGGCCCAAGAGGCCCCAAAGTTGGCCCAGGAGGCTCCCAACACGGCCTCAGGGAGGCCCAAGAGAGCCTCGTTCGAAATCATGTTCCCAGAAGCCTCTCTGGGAACATGATTTCCTGGTTCCCAGGACGCCCAAGAGGGCCCTAAGACGGCCCCAAAAGGCCCTAAATGGACGTTCAAAAAGGCCCGGAGGGCCATAGTTCGTTGATTTGCGCGAGATGTTGTTGGATTTCTTCCGCGCGGAGGAGACGGAGAGGGCGAAGGAGGAGGAGGAGGAGGAGGAGGAGGAGAAGGAAGAGGAGAAGGAGGAGGAGGCGGGGAGGAGGAGTGGAGGGGAGGAGGGGGGGAGAGAGGAGGAGGCTCGAGGGCGATCGACGATCGGCGACGACGACCGGCGACGGTGATTGACGACGACGACGACGACGACGACGACGACGATCGACGACCGACGACGACGACGATAGACGACGATGACAACAGTCGACGTCGCCGATCGACGAACGACGGCGACGACGACGACGGCCACGCCGACGGCGGCGACGCTGTCCGCGTGCGCAGAGCCACCCTGGACCCAGTCTTTTCTGCATCGTTCGAAATCCTGTCCCCAGAAGCGTCTCCGGGAACATGATTTCAGGAGGAGGAGGAGGAAGAGGAAGAGGAGGCAGATTAGGAGAGGAGGAGGAGGAAGAGGAGGAGGAGGAGGAGGAGGAGGAGGAGAGGAGGAGGAGGAGAGGAGGATGAGTGCGGGAGGGCTCGGGGCCGATCGACGATCGGCGACGGTGATCGGCGACGGTG